GGGGGGGAGTGGGTCCAAAATGATTTGTAAACATATGCGAAGATACCCAACCACCACACATCCTGAAACATCACGTGGGGCCCACACAAAAGAAGATGGACAGCTATGAGCCCATCCGAAGAAACCCAGCCGGTGGAAAACAGACTGTATTGTCGGAGTATGCATAGTCAGGCGATAAAACTATAGGAAACGACAGCCCCTTTGGGTCCCCTCCCACTGGGGGAGCATTCTGTCCTCTCAATAAATCCTGCTTTCCAAAAAAAACAAAACAAAGAAACAACTATAGGGCGAAGCAAGGAAGTGCTTGTCAAAAGACAGGGAAGGAGGGAATCACGATCAGAGAGGGGCACTGGGGGGAACTTTGGCGTCCTTAGTCAGGTTTCCCTCCCTCCCTCCCTCCCTCCCTCCCTCTCTCCCTCACTCCTTCCTTCCTTTCTTTTTTTAGAGACAGGGTATCTCGCTGTTGCCCCGGCTGGAGTGAACGGCATGATCATAGCTCACTGCAACCTTGAACTCCTAGGCTGAAATGATCCTCCCACCTGAGTAGTTAGGACTACAGGTGTAGTCCATCACACTGAGCTTTTCTCTTTTTTTTTTGTACAGACGGGATCTCCCTGTGTTGCCTAGGCGGGTTTAGAACTCCTGGCTTGAAACCATCCCCCCACCTTGACCTCCCAAGATAGGAGGGATTACAAGTATGAGTCAGCGCGCCAGCTGTTTTATTTCTTGACCTGGGCGATTGTTGCTCCAGTGTAATTAGCCATTAATGTGTGTGTGTGTGTGTGTGTGTGTGTGTGTGTACACGTGTATAAGAATAAAACTTTATGCACTTTCATATGTGGGATGGGTTGACAAATGCCCAGCCTCACTCCTAACTCAAGAAAGGCAAATGAAAGCAGCAAAGACGGCCAGGCATGGTGGCTCATACCTATAATCCCAGCACTCTGGGAGGCCGAGGAGAGAGGATTGCCTAGACCAATCTGGGCAACATGGCGTGACTTCGTCTCTACAGTAAATCAAAAAATTAACCGGGTGTGGTAACGGGTGCCTATAGTTCCGGCTGCTTGGAAGGCCAAGGCGGAAGGATCGCCGGAGCCCGGCAGGTCGAGGCTGCGGTGGCCGGGAGCGTGCCACTGCACTCCAGTCTGGGCGACAGAGTGAGACTCCAACTCAAAAAAAAAAACAAAAGAAAGAAAAGAAAAGAAAAAAGAAAGCAGCAAAGAAATGTCAACCTATTAGGTGGGCTGATATAGTGTTGGCAAAACACTCCTGTACGCAGCTGGCAGGCATATAAATGGGCACAGTCTTTTTGGAGAGCCATTTGGCCATATCTATCAAAATTTAAAATGTAGACATCCTGTAGCCCAGAAGTTGTGCTTCTCGAAATGCCTCCCACACATCAAGCACTTTCAGCTTTCTTGTGAATCGCTGTCCAAACGTGGGTGCCAAGGCAAATGCCCACCCACTCCTGTGTGAGGAATTTCCCAGCACTGCAAACTTGGCAACACTCAGTCAGTTAACCATCTTTTCATTTGAGTTTTGATCACTGGGACTTTGTCTTCTGCAAGTTGCTTATTCACATTTTTGCTCATTTTTGTCCATTTGTTTGATGTTTTCTTGTTGGTTGGAGTTTTCCATAGGCACCAAGTCAGCCGTATGCATCGCGGATTTCTTCTTCCAGTCTATAGTCTGACTTTGCGCTTTTCCTCCATTGTAGAGAAGCTTAATTTTAATATGGTCCAATGTTCAATATTTCCTTATATGATCTGTGCTTTTGTCTTACTAAAGAAAACCTCTACTATTTTGAGGTTGCAGAAATATTCTTTTTTTTTTTTTGGAGTTGGAGTCTCACTCTGTCGCCCAGACTGGAGTGCAGTGGCCG